AGTTAGGGATGGAAGATGTGGGCTTTAACATTTGAGCAGCTCCCTCACTAGTCACCTGCCCCGTCAGTCTCTTGCTGAGCTGGAAACGCAGAGTGGATTTATTGACTCCCAGGGCTCTGATCTGCTAATTATAAACCTCTGTCCTTCAGAGCTCACTCCTCCTCAGTTATGAGAACCTGATCTCACCAGTTCCCAGAACCGCCCCCCATGTCTGTCCATCCTACTGCAGTGACTTGAAAAATCCAAAGAGAGAGACAGGTTTAAAATTTTGCCTGAAAGTGGATTAGTCCCCAAAATACCCTGCTCAGGGGCTGGCTGGACTGAGCACTAGCACAGAAATTGCAGCATAATGTGTATGCAAAGCACTTTGAGATAAGAACATAAGAATGACCTTGCTGGGCCAGACCAATGGTCCGCCTAGCCCAATATCCTGTCTTCCAACAGTGGTTGGTGTCAGATGCTTCAGACGGAATGAACAGAACAGGGTAATTATTGAGTGATCCAGCCCCTGTCGTCCAATCCCAGCTTCTCGCAGTCAGAAGATTAGGGACACCCAGAGCATGGGGTTGCGTCTCTAACCATCCTGGCTAATAACCATTGATGGACCTATGCTCCATGAACTTATCTAGTTCTTTTCTGAACCTAGTTATATTCTTCACAACATCCCCTGGTAACGAGTTCCACAGGTTGTGTGAAGAAGTACTTGCCTTTGTTTGTTTTAAACCTGCTGCCTATTAATTTCATTGGGTGAGCCGGGGTTCTTGTGTTCCTTATTCACTTTCTCCACACCATTCATGAGTTACTAGACCTCTGTCATATCCTGCAGGGTGAAAGACACTAGATAAATGCAAGCTACCACTGTTCTTAATTTTCACGAGACAGCAAGTGCAACACCAGGGAACACGGGGCTAGCTCAGATCCTTTTTCATAGCTGCACAGTCTGGTTCCTAGAAGAGAGAAAAGAATCTTTAGGAATGTACAAGACCTTCCTGGGGGCAGGAGGCAATGTCGCAGCAAGGAAGAATTCCTGGGCTTAGAGATGGCTCCTGTGCCAGTTGCTGGCTGGATCCAGCATTTCCTAGGCTGTTTCTGAAGCTCAGCTGAGGTGAGTGTGCCTCCGACATCCTCCCAGGATGGCTTTTCACTATTACCTCTGCTGTGCACTCGGGTGATGCCATCCTGCGCGCTACTGCCTGTATGGCACCTTGTTCTATTATACGGGCAGCTCTGCAGCTCAGGTCTGGGAGCTCGGCCATAAGATGGCCGCACGCTGCGTCCCTAGTGCTCACAGTGACACTTTCCAACAAGAGGGGGGTGGTACGGAGCAGGCTCAGGAAAAGACAATTTTCATTAAAATAACAGAGCTGAGATCCAATGGCAGGAGCCTGTATCAGCCTGGGACTGTGCAGAGGAATGTGGGGGATGTTCTCTGCCGAGGCAGATAGCTACTCCCCTGGCACCAGGTGCAGCAGGAAACTACTGATTTCATTGTGTCCTGCCCTAACAATGACCGCTTGAGCCAGACGGCAGTGCCCCCTCCCCCTGAGGCAGGCCGGGCTGATACAGGTATAGTTATTGAAATAATGAACTTTCCTTCTTCCCATGTCCCCCAAAGCCCTCAGTCTGTTCCTCCTTCATCCTATAGCAACACCCCGGGGGACACCACAAACCCAGCTCCTGGCTTCACTGCCAGGAAGGGGCTTCTGCAGCAGGAGCAGCTCCTTCCAGGCAAGAGCCGTAGAACACACCAGGAGTTTCCAGAGCAGGGATTTCCCCACCCCTGCAAACAGTGTAGAGCCAGGACAGAAACAAGTGGACTGTCCAGCCAGTGATTCTGCAGATCCCACACCCTGCACATTGGTGTCCGGCCTCTCAGCTGGAGTTTAAAGTCCCCAGTGCCCTGCTTACACGGAGCACCTTTGTGAGCTTTATTAAGCACAGGGGATCACATGCAGCGCTCACAGTCTCTAACGCTGAAGGCCAGGCTGGGAGGTAGCTGTACATGTGCGTTACAACACAGCTCACAGCCCCACTGTGCTGTACCTACCAAAATGTAAGCGTTTAATCCAGGAGGATGGTAGGCTCTCACCCAGCATGGGGGGAATAGAACCGGCAAGGGTGGGGTGGAGGTGGAGGCTAGCACTGCTGCAATGGAACTATTGGGAGGGGTGCACCCTCATGGGTCATTCCCTGTAAACTGCATGCATGTGCCAGGCGGGTGGGGACTGATGAAAACGAGAGCAGGACCTGTGGGAACTGGAGTGGCTGCCGCGGTGCCTGGGGTCAGGTAGGAACTGGGGTGATTGGGCTGGTGCCAGCAGCAGCTACACCTGGGGAGAGAGATGCACTGCTGGGGCCCCTCCTTCCCAGTCTGGAGCTGGGAGCCTCCCCTCCCCCGCCAAGTCTCAGCAGCTCCCCCTGCAGAGCACCCACCTCGTTCTCCTCTCCTAGCCCTTCAACCCTCCTATTTAACACGAGCTTCCACCACCTCTGACCCCACGCACCTGCCTGCAATGAGGGTCAAGAGGCCCACGGTTAGGAGAGACTCAGCTCAGAAGTAAATTCACCTGGCTTGTGACTCTCCAGGGTTCCCAGGTTGCGGCACTCTATAGCGGAAGATGGACAGAAGGTTTGTGGTGGTGGAAACGGACCAGGGGGATGTGGAACTCTGGACAATCCTTCTCCTGTGGGGAAGCTCCAGGCCTAGAGCTTCCTAGCCAAGGCAGGGGGAGCAGCCGTCTGCTCACAGCCTCACACAGAGAACATGGAGACAGGGTGGGGTGAAGCACAGTGGGTTCTTTTATTCGGGTCTGAGGATGGTGAATACAGACAGGCTCAGGGAGGAAGTAAAGAGTCTGCCGAGTGTGGAGTCATGACAAGCACCTTCTCTCTTCTGGGCATTACCACAACATTAAAACTCCTGCCTGTCCAAGTTTAATGGGAGACTCCCAGCATCACCAGACTCCCACAAGCACAGCCAGCGTCTCCAGTCGTCCTGTGCTGAAATGACAAGCTACGAAACACACTTCTTCTCTTGCCCCGTTGCTTCCGGGTATATTTTTCTCCCCAGCCCACCACCGCCTCTCACCTGCTTCCCGCCACCCAGGCAGTTGTGCAAAGCGCGCAGGCCCAGCTCCCTCAGTGCAGGACTCCTGGGATGCACTTTGCAGGCACTCAAAGCCGAAGGTGCTCACTGACTCCTGAGGCCACGGAGCCCACCTCTGAGGAGTGGAAAAGCCACAAAGGTTTGTCCAGGTATCACAATCTCTTCCTGAGCGTGGACATGTGCACTCTCTCAGCCTTCGTGCAATGGAGACGCTCTGCTGGACCACCAACTTCCCCCTTAAACGGACTTATGCGGTGCTGTGACAGGAGCAATTTAACATGCATAGGAAGCCTAGCATGGTGCCAGTGTGAATGCAAGTCATTCACTCTGGGTTTCTTGCCTGCACAGCCTGGCAGGGAACAGAACAAAACACTCCATTTTCTCACTTAATATTAAGTTTATAAATCTAATATTTGCCCCCATCCTCCTTCCAGCAGCAGCCAGCCCTGGGCAGGCTTGAACAGCTCAAATAGCATTTCCCATGGAAACATTTGCAGCTAGTATATTGGTAAAGCAACTCTCAGCATCCTGACAATGGCCCAGTAAGACTGGAGCCGGTGTTGGGCTGTAGGGTGAATCATGCATGGGAGGGGCAGGGTGGGGATTGTAGGAAGGGATTTCTGTAATGCCCTGCACTTTGTAAATTCGTAAAGGCTTTATCTGAACAGGGGCTGACCCAAAATGGTGGTTTAAAGCGTTGGGAGAATTCGCACCTTTATCGTAGGCAGCTGGTGCTAGCGCAGTCTTATAATGTACATTGTTTCTCAATGAGAGTTGACAGCAAATCATAAAAAGCAAATGCTGTTAGCCAGGTACAAAAACTAAATACACAGTGAGAAAAAACATCCCCCCAAATATTTGGTATAAAACTTGAACGTGCCTAGCTCACACTGCGAGCCCATGATCTGCCACTGCTCCTGTCCTTGTCTCGCCTGCTGGAATGGGCTGCAGCAGGGCAGACACGACTTGGGTTGGAGGATTGCACAGGAGCAGGTCACTAGTGCACAGAGTTCTGGTCAGTGACAATACCTTGGCCAACACCGAACATGAAAGTAAATGCACATCCCCCATCTGGCTGAATCAACCCATACAAAGCCGCATGCTGATGGCAATGAGAGAAGCAGAGCAAGCTTAGAAGGGAAGGTAGAAGAAGCCGGGGAGCTGAATGAAGGGGCACCGGCCAAAGATATAGACCAATTTATTGATTATAGTATTTTTTACACTCATAAATAATAAAAATAAGTGATGCCAATAGGAAGGGCCCCCCCTTCTCCTTCACTCGTGGGGCAATGGAGAAAGTGTGTTTCCCACAGGAGGAGTGAGCAGGGCGAGGGCTGCAGGCTGCAGAGGGCCAGAGGAGGGGTTGGGCCCGTACAGGAGGAGGGAGGTTCTCACAAGGGTGCAGAGGCAGGCTAAGCACTTTGTAAATGGAACATCCCCACCACCCTGTGGGTCAGGGAGAGCGTCCCCGCCACGTTGCACCTGGGGCCGAAGCAAGGATCCCTGCCAGCTGCACAGAGAGGAAGCTCCTGGGAAATCAACCTCTTAAGCAATATAAAAAAACTTTCCCTCCAAACTGCCACAGGAGGCTGAGCCAACACCTCTCTGCCCTCAGGAGCCTGAAAGTCAGCCAGAGGAGCAGCAGGGTGCAAGGAGAGCGGAGCTCCACCACACAGGCACTGCTGCTCCTGGGATCCTACCGTGGTTGTGTCTGGGTGGGGCTGCTTAGCACAGTGCGGGTAGGAGAAGGGCCCTCTCAGCGAGAAGGCTGGCAAAGCGTCTCCTAATCTCTCCTTATGCAGCCCGTGCTGCATTAGCCAGTAGGGGCCCCAGACAGCGTCTCATGAACTCCTCCCTTACCCCGCCCAGGCCCATCTGGGAAGGCCAGCTACAGATGAACAGGGAGAGTGTGGCTTTTTTACAAAGCGAATGCCTCACATCCAGAGGCTGAGGTTATTTTCTAACCTCCAGGGTTTACCCACAGGCCCAGGAACAGCAGGTCTGACCAGCACTAATGGGTCTCTCAAAATTGTTGAGGATGTTTTTGGTGGAAGCGCTCCAGTTTTGAAGAGCCTGGCTGCTGTAGGTAGCCCCTGCTCAGTCCGGAGCAATCAGCAGCCCAGCCACTGGCTTGGGCATTGGAGCCCATGGGCACCAGCATCCCTTTCCTCGGACTCCATCTCAGGCTTTACTCTCTATCCTCAAATTCCCAGTTATCTGCAGGGTTCCTCTGGCTCAGAGCCAGACTCCAGGCCAGTGGAGTCCAGGGGCTCCATGGCTCACCCACGGTGACATTTCCTGTCAAGGAGACCAGAACCACGCCAGCATTGGCTGGTAGCAGCTGGTCCCCTTCCTATCGTTGCCAGTATGACACTCAACAGCCCAGAGATGAAGCATCCTGAGCAAGGAGGCACCAAGACAGGAGCAAATGCATCCAAGGGAAGAAATGTTCCCCATTCCCGCCAAGCAGTTTGTATGGAACAAGTGTGAGCTGAAACCTTCAGCTCCCTGCTGGCCCTTCCGGGGACAGGCCTGTCCCCAGCACGTAAGAAGTAGTGTGGGTAAGAACAGTGCTTGTAGGAAGGTTGGGTGTCTGGGGGCTGCTTTGTAGGAGTGTGTGTGTCTGGGGAAGCATGGGAATTAACTGCAGTTTCATAGAATCATAAAATCAGAGGAGAGAGCCCAACAGGCTCCCATTTCCTCCCCACCCCGCTCGGCGGGAGGCAAAGGCCAGAGACAGGATCGATGCTGGGGATGTGACACGATCACACATTTAACTGACTGGAGGCGGCACTCAGAGGTTTCTGTACTGGTGAGAGAGTCGGTTCCATTGCACCAAGTCTGGGCCCACATCCTGGGTGAATGAGGTGCAGCCAATGTCTTTCAGAGCCTCAGTTGCTGGCTGGCTGTCCAAGGATGGGCTTGCATCACCACTGCCTGTTTCAAAGGCAGCTATTCAAAGAGTCTAGTGGAGCCCAAGCTGGCCCAGGAAAGCTCCTATGCAGATCGATTACTAACAAACATCTCCATAGATACAAACACAATGGCTGTGCAGCGGGCTCCTGGTGGAATTAATAGGGGTAGCTCTTGCTGTAAGGCTGGGAAGGGAGGCTCCCAAGGTCCTGGATGTAAGCCGTGTTCTCGTCCAGATGGGAGAGAGGAACAGTGTCTTCCTCGCTGATCTGCCGGTCAAACTCTGCTTTCAGGGTTGGCCGCTGATTGTCAGGGAAGGCCAGGGAGAAAAGGGCTTCAGGCTCACACACAAACTTGTACACATAGCGCTCTCCAGCAACCTGCAGGGAGGAGACAAGGTGAATGCTACAGTCTCTGTCCCACCCACTCCTTATGCAGCTAGCTGCTCCCAGCGAATGACAGCAGCCATTGGCACGTGAGTTGTTCAGTGGGGGATGAGAGGGACCCCCCCCACAGAGCTAGGAAAGACCCTGGGCTCCTCTAGATCGTCCCCATGTCTGAGAGGGAGTTTTCACCACTTCGTCAAGCATCCTCTGTGGCTGCTGCTCTAGTCCCACCTGGACTAGCTCCAGGGACAGTGACACCACAACCCGATAAGCAGGCAGGGCACATTGCAAGGGGCAGCTTTTCTCTTAGGGGGCTGGAAATGGGGAGGGTGGGGAAGAGACTCTTAACTGTAGGGATGGAGAACCATTCAATGAGGAGCAGAATTTGTCGTGGGTTATCTTCAATTGCTGGACTTATGCTGTATTTATAGGTTACATCAAGGGTGCCCAGAGCACATGGATAGGTGCTACCTTTAGCCTTTTTATAACTCTAACTAACACTAATAACAAGAGCCTCCCTTGCCAGCTAATCCCATGACAAGCGCCCTGACTGTTGTTAAGAGGATCCCCCCTTGCTCCCCAATGCAGGTATACATGGAGAAAGCATGACCCCGCCCCCAATTGGCTTTCCCCTAGGATGCCTGGATTCAGCTCCTTCAACCGTTCCTCGATGGGTCTTGTTTCTTTGCTTCCTGCTCTGCGAATGGTGGGCCAGGGAGAGAGTTGCAGGGAAAGAGGGAACCTCAGGAAGTCAGGGGGTTCAGAACTTGCCATGAGCCAGCCAAACCTCCAATCACAAGCAAGACAAGTGTCAGGACGAGCATAGAACTTGGATCCCGTCACAAACTGACCTTCTGCATGATGCCTTTCTCATAATAATAGCGAAGGGACCGGCTCAGCTTGTCGTAGTTCATGGCCGGCCGGTTCTTTTGGATACCCCACAGCCTGGCCACCTGCAGGACAAAACACCAGGGTGCATTAATGTCTGTGAGCTCTGAGGAAAGGAGCGCATGACAAATGCTTGTGTGTGTCTGTCTGTCTGGGGGATGTTCCATGTGATCCATTTCTGAGGGAAGAATGCTGCTCAACAGGCAATATAAATAATAATTTATAGCAGGCAAACAATGGAATACAAATAATAAATACCGCACCATTTACACTTCACTGCAGCAAACAAGGAGGGCAAGGCTGATAAACAGAAGCTTCCTTCCATCACTGAGAGAATGTGTGTGTGCAAACGTCCCTGTGGCAATTGTATTGATGGAAAAATCCATCAGTAGGCAAACATTGTCAGGCAATGAACTCCCTTCCTCGATCCCCCAACATTCCGACAGAAGTAAGGGGTTTGAGAATCCTGGGTAATCCTGGGTGCTGAGTGGCTGATAAAAAGGTCACATGTTACTACAGTCTACATGCAAAGCGCTTGGCACTTTTAGCCAGTGCCTATATATTGGCGGGATATGCCCACAGCCAGGTCAGCATTGGGAAAGGGCCACTTCACCTGAAACCATCTTCAGCCTTGAATGATGAGCACTGTTATACAAAAATGAGGCTGAGAAAACACTTGTAAACGAATGTTAATAGTGAAGTGACCCAGCAAAGTGACTCAGCCCATCTGCACTGCATATGTTCGTAAGAGCCTGGGGATTAGCTAGAGCAGCCGCTAAACACAGCCATAAATCGGATCCTGACATTAATGGATGTTCCAGACACATTTCCCAGCTATTATCAGAGTTTATTGCTCTGTTTGGAACATGGTGGCACTAGAAGTGATATCTCTGTTAATTGCAGTTCGAATCCATCCATCCCCAGATTTCTCCCAGATTTTTATTTAAAATGCTGTGATCAATGAGGTACACTCCTGCCTCGGCTCTCAGAGACTGCATCGGGCACTGAACGCCAGGTAGGTGGCACAGAACCAACATGGGACAGCCCAAGAGTAAAACCCCTTGGAAGGAGGAGACCAGCTGAGAAACCCACCAACTGCAGTTCCCTTTAGCAACTCTGAGAGGAGCTATTGGAGGGGAAACTGCCATCTCCTGTATCTGGGACCCACTGACCCAAACTGTTCACCTGCTGGAGCTCAGGTGATGGGGGCGGCCATCATAAGGCTGGGATTTTTGGGCACGTAGCTGCCGTGGCCTCCTCCTCTAAAACCCCAGCCTCAGTGGTGACTCTTAGGGCAACTGGCAGGCAGGAGGCTTTACAGACGTGTGGCAAAGGCCCCTGCCCTCAGGAATCTGAAGAATCAGTAACTCAGCCCAGGGGCCCCTCTTGTTCCATGGGTAGAAGCTGAAGAGTTTTCACCTCCTCAGGCTCAATGAGTTTGAACTCCATTCCTCTGCCGGTCCAGGCGATGAAGTGGGAATTGGTGGGATCATCCAGCAAAGCCACCAGGAACTGCCAGAGCTGAAGAGACCCTCGGCGTTGGTACGGGGGTCCTTCCCGGTACCCGCCCACTTCCTGCTTGATGTCTCCTGCTGAGCAGAACAAACACAAAGGGTTTTGCTATGTCCCTTTCCTTGCCCTCCAGCAGTTCTGCCTCTCCTGACGGGAGGAAGATGCAGAGACGGCTTCTCGGTGGACAGCCACAAAAGACAAAGGCCACCTACAGAGGTTACTGCAGGGATGCCTGAGGACTAACCTCTTCTCACCTGCTGTTTACCCAAGAGGAGAGTCTGGCTAGAAAGCGAGAGCCCGGAGTGCAGCAGGAATCGTGTGACAAACCAGCTGAAAGAGTTGCTCGCTCTTTGTTTAATTGGAAGAAGCTGGGGGAGTTTTACTGTAGTTCAGGGATCACTCCACAGTGACCCTAATGCACTGTGACATGGCATCCGCTCCCAGGGGAGCCCCATCCTCCGGGGATGGATGCTAAAGGAACCAGCTGCCCTTTGAGTTCGGAGAGAACTCTGCAGAAATAGAGCTTTAGAGCAAATGTGCTTCGCTGCCCCCTTCAGAGACTGGACCCCACCTCCCTCGACTCCTGCATCCCTGGGCAGTGGGGAATCACTAGCTACTCATTTAAGCCCCGGCTCAGAACTGCTGTTAATGTGCAGACAGCCTAGCTGGCTGATGCCCAGCATCAAAGCCCATTAGATAATCTCCTCCTCTAATGTTCATAAAGGCAGGGCTGGCCCTTGGGTACCCAGTGGGGGTGGGCAAATCCCAAAGGGGACGAGGAGAGAGGCTGAGAAATACAGGTGCCAAGATTCTGGGCAGATGCCGGGCCTGGCTTCTGGCATGAGGCATTTACATGTTCAGGCGTGACTCCCTGCAGCAGCAAAGCACATCAGAATGATTTCAGCTTGTGTCTCATCCCAGGGCAATCCCACACACGCTGACCTGGTATGGGTGGCAGGCTGCACATCAGGACCAAGCTCCATTACTGTGAGTGAGCCCATGTTAGACGCACTGCCGCCTGGCTGCAGAGTGACACTGACAACCACATAGCGACTCTAGGGGTGCCTGGGTGGAACTACTGTAAACTGAAGCCGGGTAAAGAGGCCCTGCTCAGCCGGCACTAGGAAAGGGCAGTGATCTTGGCGAGTAGGTTTGGGGGTGTTTGTGGAGAGCTGGGACGGTAATCAAGGGGGACTGGGCCCCAACACCAATGACAAGGCTGAGAAACGGGGCCACTGGCTGGGTGGTTCTGGGTTCAACTACTGTGCAGAAATCAGTATCTCTCAAGTGTTTGCCTACAACATTTCAGTTTGCACAAGAGTGAAGAGGAGGAGAAATTCACCACCAACTGTAGTGATCTGGGCTCAGCTGCTGAAATGTCTGTCTGCTGCTATGAAAACTCAGAAAACAAACTCCCAGGAAGCACAACATCAGCCATGAGTCATACATCCAGGTGCGGCATCTCCTAATGAATAGGGTCACGAAGAGGGTAAGCAGAGCTGGCAGTGTGCATATTCCAGCTCACATGGTACATAGGGCCTGGGGTAACCTCATCCTACCCCAAGATTTGGAAGACACACAGGTTTCTCTCTGACCTTCAAACTTCTCCGGGACGACACAGACATCATCAGCAAATGGCCTCATCTGCTTGTTGTAGCCATAGCCTGGAAGAGACAGCAGCAGATGTAATCAGAGAACACAGACAAGCTGCAGCATTGCAGTGAGGTCTATTGCAGGAGCAGATGAAGAGGAGACAGAGCCATGAAGGTTTCTTACCTAATGTCCCTTCGGTATTTGAATGGCTTTGATACCCCTCAGCATTCATGTACATGGAAGGACAGCCAGGAACATCTACAGAATGAGCAACACACACAGATCACTGCCAAGCACAAAACCCATCAGGGCTGGCCTGCTCATCATACAGGATCACAGCCTCAGGCCCTGAAACAGTCAGGCCAACCACTAGCCTTGTGCCCTCCTAAGAGAAAAGTGAGACTCTAGATCCCGTCTTAGCTCCAGCTCAGAGTGGTTCTAGGGCTTGTCCTCTCACCATGGATAGCCATGGATTAAATTAATGTACAATTGTGACACCATCCAAAGCACCGTTTTCATCCGTGATGACAGACAGAGCAGAAATAAGAGCAGAAATATTAACACAGGTTACATTTGTTTGCTATTTCTCCTTCGTTTAGGGTTTAGGGTGACGTGACACTGGACTGCACTATGATTGTTACAGATGAAGAGGATGTTATTAGTCAGGCTGGGCAGGGATGGTGTCCCTATCCTTTGTTTGCCAGAAGCTGGAATGAGTGACAGGGGATGGATCACTTGATAATTGCCTCTTCTGTTCATTCCCTCTGGGGCACCTGGCATTGGCCACTGTCAGAAGACAGGATACTGGGCTAGATGGACCTTTGGTCTGACACAGTCTGGCCATTCCTATGTTCTTATTTT